AATACCATTTACTATGGATAAATTCAAACTACCTCTTCTTGAATTTTATCAATCTTTCATAGGCGTTTGCCTTAAATTCAATTGGAGGAAGTACACTAAAGAAACAAGAGTTTAATTAGTTTGGATTAGCAGTGAAACAAGAGAAAACATTACTAAGACGAGCAAACAAACTGACCAGAAAACAACATGATAAATAAAAACTTTGAGTTTGTTAAATAATTATTATTGTTATAGCAATTCGTATTTTATTACCATTTTTTAATTATGAGAAACCATTTGAAAGAGATCTTTTAATTAGTATAGTTTTTTTCCTTTTTTGGATGAAGAAGAAATAAGAATCAAAATTTTTAATGAGTTACCGCTGAATTCTCACTGAGTTTTTAGTCAAAACTGTCAAAAATTAGACCTTATTTTTAGAGTAGGTCTAATAAAAGGAAAAAAGAACTCGAATTCTCGAAGAATCAAATGTTTTAATGAGTTACCCTGAATTACCTCAAACATAAGGGACTAAATTCTCTCACACAGAGAGTTTTTCTTCTCTAAAAGCACGTATGCTTTAACAGTCGTACATAGCGCTTTAAGGACAGTTCCACGAAACCAAATTTTGTATAATTAAAAGAAAAAGGAAAAGAAGATGAAGCAAAGGAGAAATTCTCTTAATCATCACGACACTGTTGGTCTCTCTTTCCATTTCGGGCAGAATTGGCAGCTGCCTTTTGAGACACACACACACACACACTGACACACTCATATATTTACAATGTATGCGACTCGAAACCTAGTGTGCGGTGGCGCTGCTAGAGCAATCGGAAAATCATTTGCATCGAGGAACATGGCAACCGCCACGACGGCGGCACATGAAAATCTTCTCACCATCGGCAGTAAAATCATCGCCGTCGGTCGTAACTACGCCGCTCACGCCAAAGAACTCGGTAACGCCGTACCTAAGGTCTCTCTCTCTCTATGTGTGTGTGTGTGTGTGAACTCTGATCTGTGATTGATGCTTTTCTCGAAGCTGATTGAGCGCAATCGATCATCGTACTAGGTTTATCTATGTGTAATTGTGATTTAACTTTTGAAGGAGCCAGTGTTGTTTATGAAGCCCACATCCTCGTATCTGATGAACGGAGGGACAATCGAAGTTCCTCATCCATTGGAATCACTGGATCACGAGGTGGAGTTGGCAGTTGTCATAAGCCAAAGAGCTAGGGATGTACCTGAAGCCACTGCTATGGACTATGTTGGAGGTATTCTATCAACAATTGGCAAAACTTGTATGCTCGATTTTGTGTTTTGATTCCTAAAGTTGATAACTTTGAGTTGAATTCCATATTTCTCTAATCTTGTTTCATAAAATGCATGTGTGATTGTTATTTTAGTCGATTGAAAAAAGAAAGACCCTGTATAGTTTGTTGATCTGTGCTGCAGTTTTTGACAGCCAATGCTGTTCTTTAGGTTACAATATGAAGTTGATCTTCTATCGTGATTCTCGTTTTGTACATTGCATGGTCTCTATTCTCTAAGCTACTAAAGCACCACATATTGGAGAAAGTTACTGCTATGAGCTCTTTTTGACGTGCATCTTAATTTATATTATAGCAAAAGACTTGAGAAGCAGTGAACTGAATTGGTGTTGTGGAATGATGTGTTTTTCTTCCACTGATAGATTTTTTCGGCATAAATATTCCAATCCTTAAGATAAAACTGGTTCTCAGATAATGTGTTTCGCCCTCTGACCCATCAATTGCATGGCTCAGGCCTCAGAGTAGTTTTGCACTGTTCACTGGTTTAAGACGATAAATAGAAGATATTCGAGCAGTGAACCTTACAGCACAGTAGGCACTCCTGATATTGTGTGTATAGAGAGGTTCTAAAGAGGTAGAGAAAAAAGGGAGAAAAAAAGAATTCCTCTTCCTTGTAGTAGTAGTCTCCATTTTGTCTCGTGAGATTTCCTCTTCCTTGTAGTAGTCTCCATTTTGTCTCTTGCCACCTCAGTATTGGTGAAAGGCCACAGTGAACCAGTTAAAACCTCTTATCATAAATCTACTAATGTTAATGTTATAATGTAAAAGTGCATTACCGTCAACCTCCTTACCTAAGCCTTGTTTCTCTTGGCTGAAGACCCAAGAAGGCTATTTTTTTTGTGGAGGGTTATGTGACCGCACTCGACGGCATAACCCCTGCTGAGCGAACCCATCAACTTGATTAGTTATCATGAAAGACTATGGGGATCCGGGGGTCCCCATGCCTAACTTAATCGATTAGAAGTAACTTATCTGGATTCAATTTCGTTTGCTTTCTTCTTTTTCCTTGTTCCTGTTGTGTTGGAATATTTTTCACATTCCACCCCACGCCATAGAAAGTTGCAGCGCACTTGCATTGGCTGCTTTTTTGACAGTTTATCTCTATTTGAGCACAAAATCAAGTTGAGGCTTGCCAAGACACTTTGCAATTGTTGCTAACATCCGCTAAGCTGTGTGGCTACTGGTCAACACAACCACCTCTTGGGCAATATATTTAAGCCGAGGGTATATCGAAAACAGCCTCTCGACTCCTCCGGAGTAGGGGTAAGGTCTGCGTATACACTACCCTCCCTAGATCCCACTTGTGGGATTCCACTGGGTTGTTGTTGGATTCTACCTGAACAGTGCTACGCTGTTGTTCCTTCGCTTAGGTGAATACTGGGTGTCTATCTGGCCAAGGCTCACTTGTCTTTTCAATTTTTATCTATTTTTGCTGGAAATTGATTAGAGTTATTCAACGAACTTGTTAAGATATGCCCATCGATTCATGGGATGCCCTCTATTTGTTTAAAAACGGAAGCAGTGGAACAACAAAACCAGGTTGATTTATTTGCGGGATTTTTTCCCCTTCTTTCTGTTTCTAAATTTAAACATACTCATCCATCTGCTTTCTTCAGACCCTCTTCTTTTCCTTCTCAAAAAAAAAAAAAAAAATCCATCTGCTTTCTTCTGAGTCTGCATTAGATTGTTTGTCCCAATAAATATGTGGGGACTCTACTCACTGGTTGAAAATTCTTTGTTTCAGGTTATGCACTTGCTTTGGATATGACTGCGAGGGAGATCCAAGCTACTGCAAAGGTTTGAATTCTTTTACGTCATACATTTCGAATATCCATGCTCATTTGTCTTATTTATTGTTGGTCTTTAATCATTACTATTGGTCCTTCATTGTCATTCTTGAGGATGACAATACCAATTTTTACCAATACAAATTGACAGTCTGCAGGCCTGCCATGGACTGTTGCTAAGGGCCAAGACACATTCACTCCTATCAGCTCAGTTGTAAGAAGTTTGGCAATGTCATATGTTTGTTTTCATTTTCCCTTTGTTTTCCCCCTAATGTTAGATGGTGTTATATATCATTTTGAGAATAATTAATAATCATCTTCCCTTTTGTTTCCTGCAGTTACCTAAGTCAATGGTGCCAGATCCCCATGATATAGAATTGTGGCTGAAGGTAATAATATTTCTTTTCGTCTGCTTAATGTTGGTCTTCACAATTGCAGCTGATCATCATCTGCTACTCTGCAGGTTGATGGAGAAATTCGGCAAAAAGGCTCGACAAGTGATATGATATTCAAGATCCCATTTTTGATTAGCCACATAAGTTCGATCATGACTCTTCTTCAGGGAGATGTTATTTTAACTGGTAGGACGACTCATGCTGCTTCTTTATTCAATTGATAAATGGCCTTTCATGAAAGTTATTTTTTCTTTTCGAAACTTGCATTGCATTTTTTTCTATTTATAAAGTCCTGTAAACTTTTGCAATTGTTAGGCCTGTTATGATAAACTGAGGTCATTAAGGTTCTTCCTTTTTGTGCTTGAATTTTTCTTGATTTACATGCTTGTGGTTTTGAAAGTGAAACATTTTTTTGATGGCCTGCTACGTTCTTGGATCTCTTTTAGTTTCCCTCCATTGGCAGTTTTTGTTAATTTACATGAAGGCTCAATACTTGTATATCACTGGACAAGAGAAGGAACATCATCCGGTTTACACTAGTCTTATTCTAAAAAAAAATGCTGCAAATTGTCCTGAAACGATTGGGTAACCCTCATTACTTTTTTCTATAATTCAGCAAGTATGTCACCTACTGGTGATTTTTTTTTTAAATTTCAGCAAGTGTGTCACTCACCCAGTTTATTGAGAACTTTAAACGTTCTTGTTCAAGTAATACAACTCTTGTTACAGTTATTCATTCAATGTGTCCATTACTGATTTTCTGTAGGGACTCCCAAAGGAGTTGGTCCTGTTAAGGTAGGCCAAAAGATTGATGCCGGCATAACTGGTCTCCTGGATGTTCACTTTGATGTTGAAAGACGCCCAGGAGCAAAACGACAATGATTCACCAAAAGTTAGCTTCTTTTTTCTTTGTTGTATACTTGAACCACTTCTTTGTGGACAATTCTTTCTTTTTCCTTTTAAGACATCCCGGATATGTTGTACAATAATAAAAACACTAACATTAAACATTTAGAGCTACTTGTATGTTTTCCCAAAAAATTACAAGTTGAAATAGCATGATGCTCGACTTTGTTTTTCAGTTGAATGCTTCTTTGTACCCTTTTTTAGGTGATAAATCTCTTAGGTAATTGCCATTAGAAATTTTTACTACATAGTATTCAGTTCATTTTGATTATGGTTTATTAGTACCGTCGCTGCTAGTTGTATAAGAGGACATGATTATATCAGGCTTAATCAACAATATAGTTTTCTGATTCTCTCTTCCTTCACTCTCAACTCTCAAGTTTAGGGTCTTTGCTTTAGTGTTTATATTACTCAAAAGTAATATCTATATTGTTACTTTCTATTCCTACCCTTCAAGTCCTGGCTGAAAAGAAAGGAAATTCTGAATGGAAACCAATTTTTTTAAGGTTTTATGATATTTGGTAAGTGATAAAGTAGGTACAAGAATTATTTTAGCCTTATACAATTCCATTTTCTGGTTTATCTAACTTGTTATGGAGCTCCAAAGAAATTTCGAAGTGCAGAACCTTTAATCAGAGGAAGAAAAGCCCTGCAAGAAGTCATGTATGTGCTTGTTAACTTCATCAGGTTTTTCTTGTTGAAGAAAATGAGCTACTCCTTTCAAGATAACCACATCTTCTAGAAAGGGTACATCTTTCTTTAACCCACCCTTGTGTATATAGTCCTTGACTCCTGCTGCATTATAAGTTATGTCCAAATCTCCCACTATGAACTTCACTGGTACTTTTACTTTAGCCCCAGTCCATGGTGCTGTCAGTTCCCAGTTTCTGCATTTCAAGAATACAATCAATTTTGAGCTAAGTAGCTAGTCATAACCCTCTATACTTTTGAATCAAGATTTATTAGTTGAGTAGTCTTTCGACCAGAGCTATAATATAGTAGTGTGATTATATGAAGGAAAAAAAATGAAAGAGGGATTAGTGTAGAAGCTCACAGATCTAGTGCTCTGTAATAATTCAATCCACCAGTGAAGCCAGTCTGCTCATATTTGGTAGCATAGTAATCAACTTCTTTTTCAGTCAGCCAAGGGGGTAATTTGACTGGACTTTGATCAAATGGCTTTCCTTTAGGCAACATCAGTGGTTCAGGATTTCGGTTAGTCAATAGCTTCTCCAACACTGTCTTGGTCCCTATTTGAGCAAATTCTTCTTCTATTTCCCCAGGCTCCTTCATAATTTAAATTATTAAACAATTCATCACACTATGAGAACTAGTAACGCTAGAGCAATTTCCATCATACCATATGGAAGTAGAAATATTAAGTCACGCTAACATCAGCTTTGTTAATATTGCCAGGGAATTATGGCTTTATACTCGAACTTTAGAACTCTGTATATTTATACAAACAATAATATTCACCGCCTTCAACTTGAACTTCAATTATAAAAAAAAATGTATATTGCACATAATCCTCTAGTGGGATGAGGATTGTTTAACAGTATCATTACCTTTATTATAAGCTGCAATCTACCCTTAAATTATTGTTTTACTTTTACTCTTCAATAGTCAAACAAACTTGAATTTCACAAAATTTTGATATATATTTTCCCGCACTTATAGTATTATTATTATTATACATCCTATTTCTTAACCATGTAACATTATTTCATAAAGACAAATTAGTACAAGTTTGACTTAACCTTAAAAGTTGATCTACTTGGCTATCGATAGTAAATCGAGTCTTCAATTCATTTAGATGGAGTATTAATTGAGAGAAGAAAGAGAGGAAAAATAAATAAATAAACCTGGAATCTGATAATATAGTACTCATCTCCATAAGTAGCACGTAGACGAGCAATGGGCCTAATAATTGGGTTTCGTGGAGTGAAAGGAACACTCATGTTAACAAGGGCCTTGACCTTATCGGGCCTATACAAACACAAAGCCCAAGTAATCATAGCTCCCCAATCATGGCCCACTACAAACACTTTCTCTTGGTCAGGGGAAATGATATTAAGAAGTTCCACAATGTCACCAACAACATGGTGGGTGGTGAACTTGGTGAAGTCATCATTGGGTGCTCCAGTGGTATCCCCGAACCCGCGTAGGTCGGGGGCCACTGCCCGGTAGCCGTGGGCTGCCATGAACGGCATTTGGTGGCGCCATGAGTACCATAGTTCCGGGAAGCCGTGAAGGAATAGGACTAATGGGCCTTGGCCCATTTCAGCTATGTGCATGTTTATTCCATTCACTCTCAATGTCTTGTGTTGAATCTCCTTCATTTCCTTCATCTCGCTCTTTCTATCCCTGTCCTTGAAATTGTACTTGTGTTTTGACGATCTCGCTTAGAGTTTAGCTGCTTTTTAAAGTGTACAAGTTCGTGAAAAGAGCGAGTGAAATGAGGAAAAGCGGCTTAGAAAAGAGTAGATATATACTTATACAAGCAAAGAGTACACCATTGGGCTTAACTTGTTTCTTCACGTAAGAGGTGTTGTTCGTTTTGGTTATATGGCTACATGTCACAATGTTGTTCTTTCGCAAATTATGGTTAATCTCGTGAGAAGTTTCAGAAATCTCTCCGCCTTTTGTTCTACTAAGAAAATAGGTTTCTTCTCCACTTGGCTTTTCCATGCGAGTCCATATTACTTAAATGGAAAAATAAGTTAACCATGGTTTTTATCACTTTTGAGAAAACGCATAATAAGACTTACAACTAAAATGTTACTATTAACTAGAAAATTCTGACGTTTTATAGCAGAAAATGAAGGATATATAACGGATTGGAGATAATGACTCATTGCTAATATTTTACTTTTCCCTTTCTTTTATACCACGAGACCAGTACAGTCGAATCTCTCTATAACAGTCATCCTCTATAACAACGTTTCACTATAACAATCAAGTTTTCTTTAGAACTGATTTTTTATGTTGTGTTATAATATGTGTTATTTATAACAACACTTCACTATTACAGCAAAAAAATATCAGAACAAATAAGGATGTTATAGAGAGTGTTACACCCCATATTTTCGTACGTGAAAGTACGCCATAAGTAAATTGATAGAAGCTCGGAAATGAGATGGTACATCCCACGTTTTCGTATGTTAAAATTTTATCGTAAGCTAATCGACGTAAGTTCGAGAATGAGATTATTTTGAGATTATAAGCATTTTGCTATTTCAAACAAGTGATGAGTAAATTCGTGAAGGTGAGAGAGGGTAAGCAAATGGAAGAAAATGAATTTCGTCGAAGTTTGACATTTTGGGATAAAATACCACCCGAGCTAAAATACCCGATATTTATGGACTAGTACCATACAAGGTACTATATGACCATAATAGTAAGGTGTACAAAATTTGTTAAAAGTGAATAGTATTTTAAGTAATTTAAGATAATTCCTAATTATGTGGATAATCGAATAATTAATAAATTTTAGTGGGAGATTAATTAGAAATCTATAGATAAAATAATTAAGTGTGAATTTTGGATAATGACTAGGGGACAAACATCCACGTGGGAGCGTGAAAATTTGGCAGCAAATTGCCATCTTTTCATGACCTTAAGAAAGTGGTGGCATTTTCCTTTAGGGCTAGTTAAGTAAAATCTTATATACGCAATTATCAGATTGATCTTTGAAGGACACGATCATTTAAAGAGATGTGTAACTTTATCTCATTTGGTTGAAAAATATCAAGAAGGCAAAAATAGTATGGCTTCTATTTATTTCCTTTCCTGTAGTAACAAATGCTAAGATTTAAAGTGGATTTAAAGTGGGATTATATAGATTGGCTTGCTAAGTATGGATGGAATTCTTAAACAAGATTTCACATGAATCCTTTACAAAGTGAGATAATCTGCAACGTGATTTTGCTTCAACAGAATTTTCTACGAAGTTATACTGTGTAATAACAACGAGATTTGCAATTTTAAGAGAATACGGTGCAATCTTTCTCAAGAACATCATACAGATTTTTCCCTAGCTACTTCGTTACGCATTGTCGTAATCAACGGTGTTGAAGGGATTGTCAAGAGAATCGGTTCAGGTATGTTAAGACTATCCCTTCTTTCTTTTTAGCATGATCCAAATAATACAAATGAAATGAACAAAATACGCAACTTTCATAAATAACTCTATTCACAGAAATACTAGGGGTGTCTATATTCTTGATTCCCCATGTGAATTATTATTATATTTTATGTTCATGGGTCTCAGAAAAATACGTATTCGATAAAGTTTATCCGAAAGGCATATTATTTTTATGACATTCCGAGAAATCTTATTAACGTATTTCTTATTCATTTCATGCATTTATACATGTACATTGACCCATGACCAGATGGCGTTATATGGGAAAAGGTTACAGCGTTACATATGCACCACCACCTAATCAGCATTTGCCCACAGTAGCCGAGATGATATGATGAGATGCCCTCAAATGCTTGATGATGTTATGAACGCATATACCTATGCATGGTAGGACATTTATACATGTTGAGTCTTTTACTCCATGTTTCTCTCATGTCTATTGTTTACTGATTTTTATTCCTTACATACTCGGTACATTATTTGTACTGACGTCCCTTTTGCCTGGGGACCCTGCGTTTTCATGCCCGCAGGTCCTGATAGCAGGTTGAGAGTCCTCCAAGTAGGCTATTAGCTCAACGGAAGGTGTTGGCGCGCTCCATTTGCTCCGGAGTTGCTTATGTGGTCAGTATGATTAGGACATGTATACTGATTAGTATGGCTGGGCCTGTCCCGACCTTTATGACATTTATGTACTCTTAGAGGCTTGTAGACATATGTCGTGTACGTGAAAGATTGTACGGCCTATGTTTTGAGTTTATAAATGATCTTGTTGGCCTATTAGGCCCGTTTGTCACGTGTATATAATGATGTAATAAGAACTCGGTTAAGTAAGGTACTGGGTGCCTGTCGCGGCCCATTGGTTTTGGGTCGTGACAGAGAGGTTAGACTGTAATTTGATAGAGATTACTCACAAGTGGTACAGTGGCCATCCACATAAAATTTTCATCAAAAAATAAGAAACTCAATGTTTAACTCTCAAGAATTATAAGAATTGGAATTATCAGAAATTAATCAAGCGTAATCTTAATTAGTTGCAAGAAGAGTGCAAGAAAACTCCATCATCAATAATGAACAACAAAATAAAGCTCATCACTCATCGCAGGCACACATTACAAACTTAGCAAACAAACACATTTAATACCACCTCAAGAAATGGAGAAAAAAAAAAAGAGAGAAGAGAAACTCTATAGAATAGCACAGAAGTTGGACTGATTAGAGGATGAAATCTTGCGAATAAAGTTGTAAATATGGTCATTAATTTCTTTTGGTTTTTCTTCGTGGATAAAATGTCCGACTCCTTGTAAAACCACAACTTCCTCTAACAAAGGCACTTGTTTTTTGAAACCACCTTTGTGTAAATAATCTTTAATGCCAGGAGCATCATACGTAAGGTCAAGGTCACCCACAATGAACTTCACTGGTACTTGGATTTTAGCCCCTGTCCATGCTCCTGTAAGCTCCCAATTTCTGCAATATTCAAATTCACATCCAAATATATATATATGTTAATGGAGCGACATGCATTGCCATTCATATTCATCTGGCCAATCCAACTTGCTTGGAAATGAAATATAGTGAAAGTGCATTATTAAGTTGGGTTACCGATCTATTGCTCGGTAAAAATTGAGTGGTCCAGTGAAGCCAGTTTGTTCATATTTGGTAGCATAGAAATGAAGTTGTTCCTCAGATAACCAACAAGGCAGCTCAACTTGAGGATTATCTCCAAATGGTTTTCCTTTTTTTAAGTAAAGAGGAGCTGGTTCCCTATATGTGAAAAAATTCTTTAAAACATTCTTCACACCCATTTCCTCAAATTCACCTTCTATTACTCCAGCCTCCTGCATCAATCGAATTGAAGAATGTAAAGTTACTATTCCTTAATTTTAATGAATGTTCTCGACAGTAAAAAAATATAAAAATAATCTCCAACTAATTGAGCATTCTTCCCGTGATAGAATATTGTGGGGGTGGGGATCAAGCTATATATTATTGGATCAAAAGAAAAGCTATATATTACTAGATGGAATATACCTGGAGTGTAACTTTTTGTTGTTGTACAAAGACAAATACATATCGTCATCCAAGGAGATTTATTCCATAACAGAACATCTCCAAACTAACACGTACGTACAAGGAGCTTTACTTTATTGAAACGAATCTTGCTTTTTAACAACTATTGGCATTCAAACTTGTGGAACTGTGGCTATTGTAACAACTTAAAAATTGTAACATATTAATACAACTAGATTTAACTGCATGGGTAAGAAAATATCAATTACTAAAGGCAGATGCATAATCAATACTAATCTGATTCAACTTTAAAACTTATTGACATATTACTATTCCTATTAGATACGTAGTTTAAAATCAAACTTTTTGAATTTGTGGTAAAAAATAAATCACATATATTTTTGTGGATATATATCATCTCATTAAGTAAATTTCTCAAATTATAAGATTTCATTCTTTGTGAAACATTCCTTGAACCAAGGGTCTATCGGAAACAGCCTCTCTACCCTCAGGGTAGGGGGTCAGGTCTGCGTACACACTATCTCCCCAAATTCCACTCCTGATATTATTCTTGGGTTTGTTATTGTTGGTGTATTCTTTTTTAAACCGACTAAAAAGTAAAATGCATCACATAATTTGGTACAAATGAACAACTTAATAAAAGTGTAGCTGCATCGTTTCTTTCTCAATAATCTAAGAACATTTTTGTTGGACCAATTTTTTTTTTCCTGTTTTGCTACTAAGAAAATAGGTAATAAAATCGAAAATCCTTGAAATTAGATTCGAAAGGATCATAGTGTGGTGACTTTCCTATTTTTTGTTATTTTTATCTTTTATTTCTTGGAACCCTATATATGTAAATCTCGAGACTCCAAACCAGGGGCGGCTCAAACATATGTATGGCCTAAAGCTAAAGTTTAATGTGAGGCCTAATTTTTTTAAAAAAATTGTTAATAATTTTTTTATATCGATTTCCTCTAATAATTCCTTTTCAATTGATAATATAACCAACAAATTTAATCTATCTTGAGACATTGTTAATATTAGGTAAGATTTTATCAATTACTATAATCTTGAAATCTTCTTTTCTTTGACGCAACTGTTATAGAAAAACTTTACTTTTATACGAAAAGTGCTAAATATTATTTGTTTAAATACCTATAAATCTATTATTTCTAAAAAATGGGGCCCCCA